ACATAAACAAAGAAAAAATGACAAATCCATCGACAATAAAGCAAAAAGAATAAATAAGAACGGATCTAAGTTGATAGGGGCGGGGGGGGGCATAGGAGAGCAGGGGCCCCCGACACGACACACTTCTGCATTGCTGGTCGGAATGCAAGTTGGTACAACCCCTTTGGATGTCAGTGTGATTTCTCAGAAAATTAGGAAACAACCTTCCTCAAGACCCAGTAATACCACTTTTGGGTTTTGAAATTAGACAACAGCTCTGTCCTTCTCTACATCTAAAAGAATTATTCAGAGTTTCTGTCTCATATCAAGAGTCATCTGATATGGGACAGAAAGAAAAGAATTTAGAAAAAATTTTACTTTTCTTCATACCTATTTTTGTCTCTATCATACCTTCATTGCATATATATGTCTGTATATGTCTATATAGATAATGCTTAAGGTTTCTACAATGAACAATGAATTTTCCTGCACTAATCTTTGAAGTTTCCAGGAAGGTGGGGTCCCACAAAAACAACTCCACCTAGTTGATATGACGTCATGATGCTGATAGTGCTACTATAAGACCTGTTTTGGGTACCAGCTGCTCAAGATGGTTCCAACTTGGTTAGCTGAAATGGTACACTTCTTTACAACATTCTAGCCAGAACTCCAAATAGGAACCTCAGAAAAACCCTACCAAATACTCAGAGACTATTTGCATTTTTACCAGACAGTAATCTGGAACTTAATCATTTTACTTTCACAGGATCCCATAGAAAGAACATGGCCCCCATGACAGCTGGAAGTAATTCTAGAAGACAACTTACCCTCGCCCAACAAAGTTTGCCCTCAGGGTTAGGGACATCACTTAGGAGTTGATCATAATTGGTATAGAGTTGAGGGTTGGGGGGAAATTATGTAGGATCAGGGGTCTCTCTGAAAAAAAAAAAACCAAGTGAGGAATTGGATGGGATAATAAATTAGCGTGAGCTTACTCACACTAATAATAGTGAGTAATCGATATGTATTTATATATATTGGGATTTATTTATCATATTGCAATGCACATTTCGACCTCTAATCAAGATACTTATACATTGTTTACATTTTGAGGTCATTGTCTTCATTTGATGCAGTTGTTTATTGTATAATATTCTAATATGGGGGAGGTGCTACAGGAAATCCTACAGCCAATAGCCTTTAAATGATCAGCTCACTTGGGCGTGGCCTCTTATACTATTTATGCTGAGTAAAGCGCTTGGCCTCTCTCTTTCCTGGCTGCGGGATTCGGTCGCTGTTTTCCATTCCAGTAGAAGATAACAATTTGTGGGTCTACCCCTAAATAAACTACCACCTATTATTCTCGATTTTGAGCTAGTGTGGGATTTCTTTAAGAGCTCTTCTTCATGAGCCCTGTGTTTTAGCATACTAAAGTGTGACCTTGCTATACTAACTAGGATTCCCTACCTTCCTGCTCGCGGCCTTTCTGTTTTCTCCCACTTCCTCTCCAGCCTTTGCTGTCAGCTGTTTTAGTCTTTGCCATTCTCACTGCAATTAACACAATTCTTTTTTATGAATGTTTAAATCTATTTTACATACCAACTAGTTTCCCCTCCTTCCTCTTCTCCCATTCCCTTCCTCTATGTCATTTCTACCCCAGCCCCCACTCCTAAGGGAGTCAACAAGGCTTACAGATCAAGCTGAGGCAGAACCAAGCTCCTCCCCCTGCATCAAGGCTGACCTAGGCACTAGGGACAGATACCAGTTCCAAGGCTATGAGCCCCACAAACAAACCAAGCCCCACACTTGTGACATTTCATTCGTATTTTACCTTTTTTTTTTTTTTTCTCGGAGACAGGGTTTCTCTGTGGCTTTGGAGCCTGTCCTGAAACTAGCTCTGTAGACCAGGCTGGTCTCGAACTCACAGAGATCCGCCTGCCTCTGCCTCCCGAGTGCTGGGATTAAAGGCGTGCGTCTTTAATTTATTCGTATTTTAATTAATAAAACTTTCCTGAAGATCAGAGAGTAAAACAGCCCCACTGCTCAGCCTTACAAACCAGGCAGTGATAACACACAACTTTAATCCCAGCAGTCACACTAGTTGCCATAGAAACTCGGCAGTGCATGCCTTTAATCCCAGAACTTGAGAGGATTATAAAATGGGAAAAGACAGCTCACAGTCTCAGTCTCATTCTGAGATTCCTGGAGGCAGGATCGCCATTTCAGACTGAGGTTGAGGTAAGAGCCAGTGGCTGGCTGCTTTGCTTTTCAGATCTTCAGGTGGAACCCCAATTTCTCTGAGTTTTTATTAATCCTGCTTCAGCACACTGTCACACACATGCAGGGGACCTAGGCTGGCCCCAGGCAGGCTCCTTAGCTGTCAGTCTAGAGCCTGAGTCAGCTTTCTCTGCGGGTTTCCCCATCATGGTCTTGACCCCCTACCCTGCACATATAATCCCTCCTCCCTCTCTTCAACTGGACTCCCAGAGCTTGGCACAGTGCTTGGCTGTGGATCTCTGCCGTTTCCACCAGATACTGGATGAAGGTTCTATGATGACAATTAGGGTAGTCACCAATTTGGTTACAGGAGAACCCAGTCCAGGCACCCTGTATACAGACCAAGCCACAATCTATACAAACAGGAACAATTTATAATATCAACAACCTACATAATTCTGATAATAGCCAATATAACTAACTAGTTCTAAGAATACAAAAGAGCAAATCAAATAGCTCGAAAGAACCAGTTACGAGTTTGTGTGCCTCATGTCATTTTTAGTTTTACCAAAGAGCTTACCTAGGAGGATTAGCCTACAAACGAGGAGAGAGGCCTACAACTTAAAAGCCTACAGAAAACCAAATCTATTGAGCCAGAAAAAAAGAATCCCCTTATGACATTATATTTAAAACATTAAACATACAGAATAAAGAAAGCATCAAGGAGAAAACACCAAACAAGACATGAAGGCAGACCTATAAGAATTACGTAATTTCTCAGTGAAGATTCTAAAAGCCAGAAGGGCCTGAATACATGTGCTACAGACTCCAAGAGACCAGAGATGCAGACCAAGACTACTATACATAGCAGATGGAGATTCCGCAATGAACCAAATTTAAGCA